TCTACAATCTAAACTAGATGCCCTCAATCTCACACAAATTATCAACGAACCTACCAGGTACAACCCTAAATCCGTAAACATGGGTACCCTCATAGATATCATCCTGACTAACTTACCCTCTAAATACACCTCCGCTGTCTTCAACCAGGATCTCAGCGATCACTGCCTTATTGCCTGCGTCCGTAACGGGTCCGCGGTCAAACGACCACCCCTCATCACTGTCAAACGCTCCCAAAAACACTTCAGCGAGCAGGCCTTCCTAATTGACCTGGCCCAGGTATCCTGGATGGATATAGATCTCATTCCGTCAGTAGAGGATGCCTGGTTGTTCTTTAAAAGTAATTTCCTCTCAATCTTAAATAGACATGCCCCATTCAAAAAATATAGAACTAAGAACAGATATAGCCCCTGGTTCTCCTCAGACTTGACTGCCCTTGACCAGCACAAAAACATCCTGTGGCGTACTGCATTAGCATCAAATAGCCCCCGCGATATGCAACTTTTCAGGGAAGTTAGGAACCAATATACACAAGCAGTTAGGAAAGCAAAGGCTAACTTTTTCAAACAGAAATTTGCATCCTGTAGCACTAACTCCAAAAAGTTTTGGGACACTGTAAAGTCCATGGAAAATAAGAGCACTTCCTCCCAGCTGCCCACTGCACTGAGGCTAGGAAACACTATCACCACCGATAAATCTACAATAATCGAGAATTTCAACAAGCATTTTGCTACGGCTGGCCATGCTTTCCACCTGGCTACCACTACCCCGGCCACCAGCTCTGCACCCTCCGCTGCAACTTGCCCATGCCCCCCCCGCTTCTCCTTCACACAAATCCAGACAGCTGATGTTCTAAAAGAGCTGCAAAATCTGGACCCCTACAAATCATCTGGGCTAGACAATCTGGACCCTTTCTTTCTAAAACTAGCCGCCGAAATTGTCGCAACCCCTATTACTAGCCTGTTCAACCTCTCTTTCGTAACGTCTGAGATCCCCAGAGATTGGAAAGCTGCCGCGGTCATCCCTCTCTTCAAAGGGGGTGACACTCTAGATCCAAACTGTTACAGACCCATATCCATCCTGCCCTGCCTTTCAAAAGTTTTTGAAAGCCAAGTCAACAAACAGATCACCGACCATTTCGAATCCCACCGTACCTTCTCCGCTATGCAATCCGGTTTCCGAGCTGGTCATGGGTGCACTTCAGCCACGCTCAATGTCTTAAACGATATTATAACCGCGATCGATAATAGACAGTACTGTGCAGCCGTTTTCATTGACCTGGCCAAGGCTTTCGACTCTGTCAACCACCGCATTCTTATTGGCAGACTAAATAGCCTTGGTTTCCCAAATGACTGCCTCGCCTGGTTCACCAACTACTTCTCAGATAGAGTTCAGTGTGTCAAATCGGAGGGCCTGTTGTCTGGACCTATGGCAGTCTCTATGGGGGTGCCACAGGGTTCAATTCTTGGGCCGACTCTTTTCTCTGTGTATATCAATGACGTCGCTCTTGCTGCTGGTGACTCTCAGATCCACCTCTACGCAGACGACACCATTTTGTATACATCTGGCCCTTCATTGGACACTGTGTTAACAAACCTCCAAACGAGCTTCAATTCCATACAACACTCCTTCAGTAGCCTCCAACTGCTCTTAAACACTAGTAAAACTAAATGCATGCTTTTCAATCGAACGCTGCTGGCACCCGCCCACCCGACTAGAATCACTACTCTCGACGGGTCTGACCTAGAGTATGTGGACAACTACAAATATCTAGGTGTCTGGTTAGACTGTAAACTCTCCTTCCAGACTCACATTAAGAATCTCCAATCCAAAGTTAAATCTAGAATCGGTTTCCTATTTCGCAACAAAGCCTCCTTCACTCATGCTGCCAAACATGCCCTCGTAAAACTGACTATCCTACCGATCCTTGACTTCGGCGATGTCATTTACAAAATAGCCTCCAACACTCTACTCAGCAAATTGGATGTAGTCTATCACAGTGCCATCCGTTTTGTCTCCAAAGCCCCATATAATACCCACCACTGTGACCTGTACGCTCTTGTTGGCTGGTCCTCACTACATATTCGTCGCCAAACCCACTGGCTCCAGGCCATCTATAAATCACTGCTAGGCAAATCCCCGCCTTATCTTAGCTCATTGGTCACCATAGCAACACCCACCAGTAGTCTGCGCTCCAGCGGGTATATCTCACTGGTCATCCCCAAAGCCAACACCTCCTTTGGCCGCAATTCCTTCCAGTTCTCTGCTGCCAATGACTGGAACAAATTGCAAAAATCTCTGAAGCTGGAGACACTTATCTCCCTCACTAACTTTAAGCATCAGTTGTCAGAGCACCTTACCGATCACTGCACCTGTACACAGCCCATCTGAAATTAGCCCGCCCAACTACCTCATCCCTATATTGTTATTTATTTTGCTCATTTGTACCCCAGTATCTCTATTTGCACATCATCTCTTGCACATCTATCATTCCAGTGTTAATACCAATTGTAATTATTTTGCACTATAGCCTATTTTATTGCCTTACCTCCATAACTTGCTAAATTTGCACACACTGTATATTATATGTATTTCTGTTGTATTTTTGACTTTGTTTTGTTTTACCCCATATGTAACTCTGTGTTGTTGTTTTTATCGCACTGCTTTGCTTTATCTTGGCCAGGTCGCAGTTGTAAATGAGAACTTGTTCTCAACTGGTTTACCTGGTTAAATAAAGGTGAAATAAAAAAAAAGAAAATAAAAAAAGATCTCAACTCGTGGGGCATCAATGATCATGAGGAAGGTGAGGGATCAGCCCAGAACTACACGACAGGACCTGGTCAATGACCTGAAGAGAACTGGGACCACAGTCTCAAAGAAAACCATTAATAACACACTACGCCGTCATGGATTAAAATCCTGCAGCGCACGCAAGGTCCCCCTGCTCAAGCCAGCGCATGTCCAGGCCCGTCTGAAGTTTGCCAATGACCATCTGGATGATCCAGAGGAGGAATGGGAGAAGGTCATGTGGTCTGATGAGAAAAAATAGAGCTTTTTTGTCTAAACTCCACTCGCCGTGTTTGGAGGAAGAAGAAGGATGAGTACAACCCCAAGAACACCATCCCAACCGTGAAGCATGGAGGTGGAAACATCATTCTTTGGGGATGCTTTTCTGCAAAGGGGACAGGACGACTGCACCGTATTGAGGGGAGGATGGATGGGGCCATGTATCGCAAGATCTTGGCCAACAACCTCCTTCCCTCAGTAAGAGCATTGAAGATGGGTCGTGGCTGGGTCTTCCAGCATGACAACGACCCGAAACACACAGCCAGGGCAACTGAGGAGTGGCTCCATAAGAAGCATCTCAAGGTCCTGGAGTGGCCTAGCCAGTCTCCAGACCTGAACCCAATAGAAAATCTTTGGAGGGAGCTGAAAGTGCCCAGGGACAGCCCCGAAACCTGAAGGATATGGAGAAGGTCTGTATGGAGGAGTGGGCCAAAATCCCTGCTGCAGTGTGTGCAAACCTGGTCAAGAACTACAGGAAACGTATGATCTCTGTAATTGCAAACAAAGGTTTCTGTACCAAATATTAAGTTCTGCTTTTCTGATGTATCAAATACTTATGTCATGCAATAAAATGCAAATGAATTACTTAAAAATCATACAATGTGATTTTCTGGATTTTTGTTTTAGATTCCATCTCTCACAGTTGAAGTGTACCTATGATAAAAATGACAGACCTCTACATGCTTTGTAAGTAGGAAAACCTGCAAAATCGGCAGTGTATCAAATACTTGTTCTCCCCACTGTATCAGTAGCCTGGTCCCAGATCTGTTTGAGCTGTTTTGCCAACTCCTATGGTTGTTATCATGCCAAACCAACCATAGGAGTTGGCTAAAGAGCACAAACAGATCTGAGACCAGGCTAGTATATCAGTAGGCACATGGGTATTATTTAAATTACCATGTCTGTTCATATTTACCCTCTGAAAATACTGAGTGACACCATGTTGAGGCCAGATGTACTAAACGTTGGCACTGGTACAATGTTTTCACCTGCTCGTTTTAGAGAGATTTGAACATAAACATTTAGGAAAAAGGTAAAGAAATGTTAAGAGAAAGAATGAGAGTAAATGAAGACAGTGTTGTGGTTTAGTTTTTAGCTTTGTATTTAGGTCTCTGTTTTCTTTGATTGTCTTCTGAAAATGATAGGTAGTGCAAATGCTTAGTATATCTGCCCCCAAGTCTTCTAGGCTGTCAGATTAATAGACTAATCATAACTGGCCAGCAAAAAAAGTAATGGAGGTTAGTCCAGAAAAATAAGGCTTGCTTATTGCATAGTACAGTACTTAAACTCAGTTTTACCCCTCCTGTGATGGCTGTGTCCAGATATGGGGGAACTAGGACACATTTACTGACTTTTACAGTATCTGCAAAGGCACTCCGGGCCTTCCTTGTATGCGCATAAGCAATGGCATCTACAGTAAGGCAATCTCAGAGTGCATCCGAATCTGACTTCAGTGTGTGAAGCCTGACCTCTTGTGTCTAGTACATGAAATGCAATTTCCCTGCCAACACTTATTCTGAAATATATCATATGGACCACTTTGATAGACCACTGGCTGAATATGTCCGGATTTCTGTATCTTAACATGGTTAGGATGAATACTGGGGTGAATACACAGTTAAATGACCATAGGTGTACAGTAAATTGAGTGTGTGTGGAGATACTCGTGTTGAGTAGGGGTGAACACTAGTCAGTGGTAGGCCAGTGAGAAGCAGTGAGGAAGAACCAAAACTGCACCTTGTTGAGGAATACAAGTTCATTCCTGTATGGGTAATAAACGGTGAAGCACCAATAGTTTACATTGAGTCCACAGGACTCCTCCTAGATCAACTGGAAACCTGCTGAAGGAGAGGGGATCACAGCATTTCCTCCATCATCTCCTCCGGATCAGGTGGTGGAGGGAGGGGCCGGAGGGTCAAGGGTCAGGGTTCAGTTATCAGCTGACCCCTCCTACTGCCTCTCCGTCCTTCTCCAGCTCCTCCTGGATCTCATCACTGTTCCCTGAGTCGCTGCTCGCCACCGAGCTGAATGATGGAGACTTCCTGTATCAGAGGAGGGAAATAAGGAAGATGTCAGTCATATCCTCTGTATGATTAGGCCTACTGTATTGACAGAGCAAGTCCAGAATGACTTTACTAGACTAGTGCTTGATAACATGTAAGGTGAAACAACTAACAATGTCTGATGGTAAATCCATTTTTTTGTACAAAAAACAACAATGAGACTGATTAATGTTGACGTTTCGGCATCAAATGGAAAAATGGCCAATTGCATTGAAATTACATTGTTTCTCATCATATGTGGAGAAAGAGGTGTGTCTGACCTGCCGTTGCCCCCTGAACCCTTGATGAGTCTTCTGCAAGTCTCCATCTGCACATCCAGGCCTCTCTTCATAGAACACATCTCCATGTACTCCTGTAGGTGACGGTTCATATCACTCTTAGCTGTAGCTAACTCATACTGGGGGGGATTGAAAGGAGAAGCAGAGGTTGAGGGATAAAGATGGGACTGTAGCCAAACATTAATAACAATGAATGACTAACACACAGGAGAGTGAGTCACACTACATTAACTGTGACCTCTGTTCTCTTCATCTCTCACCTCTATTTGCCCCATGGTCTCCTGGTACTCCTTCTCTCGGTTCTGGAAAAGCATCTCGGTCTCGTCGATCAGGCTGCCCAGACTGCCATCCTGAGAGGCCTAACAATCCACAACAGACCCATTTAAAGTGTGTACTGTAGCAACATTCAAAATACAGTAGTAGACTTTACTTTGCAAGTTTCAAGTTTTAATGTCACATGCACAAGTACAGTGAAATGCCTTTCTTGCAAACTCAAAACTCAACAATGCAATAATCAAACAAAATATCAAAGTTGGGTCGGAGCTTGCAAAACAGAGGTCATCCAGTACAGCGCCATCTTTTTGCAGCTTGGAGACTAGTGCTATCTACAATAAGCACTTTCATACAGTTAACATTCGTACAGTTGTAGAATGTAGATGGATAGATAAGGTAGATTAACATCGGTCGAACACACAGTTAAACAACACACAATTAGACAATAAACAATAAAATAAATTCAAATAAATAATTACACAGTTGTATTGACATATTTCCTTTACATTCTCTGAGGCCACTCAGAATAAAGGCTTTACAGCGCAAGGGCATGAGGTGATTAAATCATCAACAGACATTTTTAGTTAAAGTTCCCAGACACTGCTTTTGGATGAGCAGTAGGGGGAGCACTAACCTGCCCAGGGCCCTGCCCCTGTCCTTCTGCTGCAGCACAGGCGCCTGCAGTAGCGCTGGCTGCAGCACAGGGGGTGTTGTAGTTGGCGAAGTCCTCCCAGAGGAGCAGTGTCTCCCCATTCTCCTCCCAAGCCAGGCTGTCACAGTCGTCATCAAAGTCAAACGTTTCCCTCCTGGTGACAAAGGAATTATCATCTGAGCAAGTTCTGCATACAAGAGAGGGATGGAGAAGTGGGGAGAGGGAGGGACAGAGAAAAAGAGAGGAGACATGAAGGTGGAAAGGGAGGGGAGAAAAGAGAGAGGACAAAAAGAGAAGGGGGAAACCAAACCGAAAGGCATGCACATTTAAAAAGGGTTGCCAAATGAAGAGGACAGGGAAGAGAGAGAAAACAAACAGACAGACAGTGACTGACAGACAGATGAAAACATGACACAGTAACAAAGGACACATGAAACTGACTAGGAGATGCTATCTAACGAGACACTACGGTGGGGATATAATTCACAGAATCATACTGTATGGCTCAAACCACACAGTTAGTTGGATAACATATTGACCTTAGTCCTTGAACTAAACTAGGTCAAAATCGACATGTTCCGGGTCAACGGCAAAGATAAAATATCCAGCACTCATGAGCAATTTAGGCAAAACAGGAAGTTACATAACACAGGTCAAAGGTTGGGCCACTCACAACTGGTTGAGCATGCGTTTCATCTCGTCTGTGATGTTGAGTGACCCTACGACCTGCTCCTTCTCCTCCTCCTCTCCACCCCCAGACTCAGCTTCCATCTCAGGACTCCTCTCCTCACACACAGCCTTACGTTCTTTCCTCCTGCACGACGCAGCAGCAGCGCCCTGTGACAAACACACCACACACTAGTCAGCTGTGTGTGAACTCATTCATAGCACCTACTACATGTGTGTGAAGGGGAGTGAGAGTGTGTGTGTGTAAAATACAGAATTTCATGGACATCTTTATTCCTTCTTCATATGGAATGGCCCAATATACTGGCGTTTGACACTGTACCGTACATAAGCAAACATATCTATTTACCTTGCTCTCTGGGGGTGCTCTGGAGGGGCTCATGTGGGGACTCATGTTGAACATCTTGCTCATGTCTTCGGAGTTGCGTTGATGGGCCACATCACATAGCTTGGCCGTGATGTCAATGCGTCTGCAGATATCCATGTCCACCTTCATGGCCTTCTCCTGGATCGCAGTGTCCAATTCTGACATTTCCTAAAGGATGGAGTTGATTGTCACAGTCAGATAATATCCATGAGCTGTGTCAACGCTTACATTTGCCTAATACTGTCAGAAAGAGAGTATCGTTTTCTGAGGCAACATTTTCCTATTACGTAGTTAAATCTAATTTGAAGGCCATGACTTGCACTTTAAAAGTAATAAACTAACTGAAAAGGCACTTAAAAGGTGCCATTGTTTGACAATAAACAAATGAACTTAAAAGGGTTCAGAAGTCACTGGGAAGGGCCAACAGTCATTGCGTGTGAAACAACAGTCTGGGTGGGTTTTGGCTAATCTGTGAGCGTAGCTACTCCAGACCACAGACTAGGAGAGTGTGGAGTGTTCATTAGAAAGCTGGCCAAAACCACAGGGCCTCAAAGAACAGGGGGAGGCTGTGTGAGGCGAGCCATAAGGGTTTCTCATCTCACTGCTACTCAGCCTCTGTCTGTCTGTCTGTCCGTCCGTCCATTTGTCCGCCCACCAACCGTTCATCTGTCTGTCTGCCTTTCTGTTTGTGTGTGCAGCTAATTTAGCTCCCACCAATTCCAAAGGAATTTCTTGGCCTCAGTGTTCAAGGGAGGGTGTCTATGTGAAGTATGATAAAAATGTGTGGTGAGCATTCTGACTGCCAGGCTGTACATATCACCTACAGCTGAGAGTGGCAGCATGCATCAGTTACAGAAGAGGTGGGTGGATGGATGGATAACTAAATGTACGTTGGGTGGGTGGTAATAAATGGGTGTAATTAAAAAATATACATAAAGTGTCAAAAAGTTGTATTAAAACAACTTACAGTAAGTTCAACCAGTCCACACAATTTAAAGTAGGTTGGGTGTTTCTAGTTTAAATGAAGCACACACTACTAAGTGATTACTTTGTACTTACTTTTTTACCATGCCATTTCTGTGTCAATAGGAGAATAAGGGAATGTTAAATAAATCCTATGCATCATTACTTACATTATCGGTCATGAGGCTCTTGAAGACCACCAGCTCTGTCTTGAGTCTCTCCACCTTGTCAGTGAGCTCCCCCTGAACCACCACAGACTCCTGGGCACTCTGGAGAGGGCAGACCATGGACACACAGCCACATCACACTCATCTCCTGACACACCAAGGTTCAATATCAAATCAAATGTATTTATAAAGCCCTTTTTACATCAGCAGATGTCACAAAGTGCTTATACAGAAACCCAGCCAAGCAATACATATGTAGAAGCACAATAAACTATTACACGTTTATGAATAACCATGCGTTAATTCTAAACCCCTTAAGGAGTTTATTCCATGTTTATCCCTTGTTTTCATTTTGAAAATGTGTCTTTAAACATCTTACAAACATTACAATTCAACTCCTATTGCAACAGTATCCCTTTCTCAAGAAAAAGTCTGCATAACATGTTGAAAATACATTTTATTACTCTACAATCCACTATTTTGATGCATCACAGCAACAAAATGTCAAAGTGGATTGAGTTCTGGGTTTTGGGCCAAGATCTCCAATAAAAGTAATCTGGAATTCAGCATTTTCTCCATACTGGTCCCCTGTGGGAATCAAACCCATAACCCTGGCATTGCAAGGACCCTACTCTACCAACTGAGCCACACGGGATACATATGTCAGAGGCATCCGGAGATAAGTTATCACAACTCCTGAATAGGTAGCTTACTGGCAGTCATGCAAAATACCCACACACATGACACAGAGTAGAGGTGTTCTTGCATCGGTTCCAAAAAGTTGGAGGACAATCAGACCCGGACGGACCCTATCATAAAAAAAAGAGGGACCAGGAACCGAATGGACCCGAGAACAATCAGACATAGACCCGTCTAGACCAGACCTGAGAGACATTTAAAATATATATCAGCCAAGTTGCTCTTCTGGTTAACAAATAGGTCTTTATATTTTGGCTACGCCTTCTATAAATAAATAAATTCACCTTATTAGCTAAAATAAATATGCTATAGGCTATGCAGAGCCGTGGTCAGGTCCACTCAGGTCTATCAGCTGTACTTACATAGACCCAAGACCCGATGACAATCAAACTGGACCCGACCCGGGCCTGAGGGAAAAGTTAGAATTTTGAACCCGGACCCGGATCTCGGGTATTCAGCTTCAGGTGGACCTGTGAAGACCTCTAACACAGAAGCTGAGCCTGCATCCCAAGAATCTGTATTTTCTCCCAGAGTGTGCACTTTTTCACTTCCTTTCATGGATTGTCCCTTTACGGACAATGCCGTTTGAACTTTGGATTTGAAAGGAAATGACTGGTATAAGAAATATGTTGGAAACTCCCTCTAGTCCAGCCCATGCCTAGATACTTCAGGAGAAAAGACACAGTATTGGGATGCAGTGAGCTAGAAGTGGGAGAGTGGTGTGGGTATGATGATTTAAGATGGCAGAGATGAGCGCTCACCTCCTGTAGTGTCTCCACCATGGCCTCCATCTGCTGGCGCTTAGACAGCTCCTCCTCCCATCTGGAACACATCACACACACACACACACACACGCACGCACGCACGCACGCACGCACACACACACACGCACGCGCACACACACACACGTTTGTTTTACTATCCTTGTGGGGACCAAACAATTGATTCCCATTCGAAATCCTATTTTCCCTAACCCTAAACCTTGCCCTAACCCTACCACTAACTGTAACAATAACCCTTTAGCCTAAAATAGCCTTTTTCCTTGTGGGGACCAGCGAAAATATCCCTACTTGTCCAAATGTTCCTTGTTTTACTGTCCTTGTGAAGACTTCTGTTCCCCACAAGGATAGTAAAACTAAAAACACACACACACACACACGGTTTGGTCAGTGCAGTCCCAGGGTCAGCCCTGTATACATCCTAACCCAGATTATTAGATCAGACGCCCCTGTAGCCTGTTTACTCACAACTGCCATGGGAGCGCAACAGGGCTGGGTTCAATTCTAATTGAAAGCAGTCAATTCAGTGATTGTAATTTTAAAAATCCCCAAATTAAAAAACTTTTGAAACATATTTTTATTTAAAGGTAATTGAAAATAGATTCAATTTTTCCCAATTTTGAATTGTTATTTAAGTTTACTTCCTGAATTGACTGCCTTGAATTCGAATTGACCCCAGCCGTGGAGCGCAAGCAATCAACAAACCATGATGGTGAAATCATCAACTTGGAAGGCAGAGAGTCTTTTCTACTCATTCAGCCCTTTTCTTTGTCCTCCGTTTCGTTTGTCCACTAAATGCACGGAGGACAGTGTTAATGTCAGGGCAGTCCATAACTGTCCACAGCATTACACTTCACCTACTGTAGCTTTGACCTTGTCCTTCTCACTGAGTCACAGCAACAACGTGACCAACTTTGGAAAAATTGACAAGCCATTATGAATTATCATATTGTGTCAGTCATACATCAAAAGTTACCAATGATGTAACTTATGTTGTGTGTGCAAGATAATGTCTAGGTTGAGTTTCCGCTGCCCCAAAGACATGTGAGCTTGTTATGTTGACATTGGCTCGTCTGCTATGTACATATACTTTTATATCAGTCTAAGCCCTGTATGGACAGTGATGACAGCAGCTTAATTAGACTAAGAGAGAGAGATGTAAAAGCCTTTAGGGTAATTCATCAAATAACATTGGACTGTTCTATATGCTATAACCATTTACCACCCTGTGGGCAAAGATTACTTACAGCGATTGGGAGAATAAAAGTGAAAAGGTGTGGGTAGTTGTATTGTATTTGCTCACTTACACAATGCCACCCATTCAATGTTCTTAAACATTTTATTTGAATGTTTCAACATAATGCCCCCATAGACATCACTTACTAGACAATTATCCTTGGATACTGAGACAAATAGAGAACAGTGGCTCTCTTTTGAGGAACGCTACAAAATGGGCAAGGAAAAGATCTCACTGACAACACTATGCACTCAGTGGCCCCCCATCACCTTGAAGCATCAGGAGAGGGGTTGCCACTGCCAGATATGCTAACGACACAGGAATAGCCAAGAATCACCTCTTGATTAAATTACATCAGTGTGTTGTTTCAACCTAAAATGCACTTCAGATTATCTCTCTCTCTTTCTCATTTACACATCAGTTAGGTTTACTATATGGCCAAGACATAATTCTAGATCAGATTATGTACACAGACTTTTATCAGTTCAAGAACTACTTGTCTTTCTGGAGAGCCGATCTGTGGAGAGATAGCTGTTTACTCAGTTAATATACAGTCAGACTGTGACTGAGATTCACCCCTGTATCCTCTTACTCTTTGGTTCCCGAGGCTTGTGACCAAAATGGAAAAACATTGAAGCTAAATTTAGAGGACATACAGTATCTAATCCAAAAACACCAAGGCTGTTAACTTGTCAACATGGATATGCTTACTTATACATGCCCTTTAGCAGATGCTTTTTTCCAAAGCGACTTACAATCACACATTCATACATTTTTATATGGGTGGCCCAAGCGGGTATTTAACCCACAATCCTGCCGTTGCAAGCGCTATGCTCTACCTACACAGGTCCACCATGCTAATTTAGCAAAGGCCTTTTGACTTCAATGGTACAGTTTGATATACCATCTTCAAAGAAAGTGTTACTATGAACACAAAATGAAGCTAATAGTTTTCTTTTTGATCTGCAAAGTTGCCTTTGGGGATTTCATGCTAGAGGGGACTTGTGTGCTACCGTTCGTCACTTTTGCCAGCAGATTTTGGGTGGTCAGTTAAACCAGTGTTCTGCTCCAGGCTACTGATTTTCAAAGGTATAAAAAAGACGGGAAGGCTTGAGGAACTGGAGCAATGAAAGGGGACACCATTGTCTAGAAAAAGTAGCTCCTTATAACTAAGAGCCGTATTGTTTAACTACTGCCACCCATCCACTCACTCTTCTTTAGTATTTAAACTAACTAGGTCAAAACTGTAGTTCAAAAAAGGTACAAGCTTCTGCACAAGCTAAGCTGATATGACAATCAGAAACATTCATTATTAAAGTAGATGGAACGTGATATCAAGCATTCTACAGATAAAATATTCCAGACAGATCTCTTTCTCCTTTTAATGTATTTGGTGACTCACAAAGACACCAAAATAGGATAGGGGTTGAATTAAGGAGTGCACTCTCCATCTCTCTCTCTGCAGGACAGCTTGGGGCAGGGAGCGGAGGGGGGTGTTTACACAGCCAGACACCAATCCCATTAGGAGGCAGGTCCTTGTGCCAGGAGCCAGGATGCAGTGCTGGCTAGACACCCCTAACAGTAGCAAAACAACAGAACACACCCATCTTTAATACCACCATCCACTGGATAAGGATGGAACATGGGTGGGTTAGAATGGTGAAGGCCACTCTTAAAGCCACAATCTGTCATATTTCCAGCCACTAATTGATAATTTCAACTAATAAAATATAGGCTACACCTTTTTGGAAGAATATGGGATTAATTCAGAGGAAGCAGTCAACAGATAGTTTGCATGGGGCGTTATAGTAATCAGGTCAGTGGTCCCTGATCAGGGTTGGGTTCATTAGGGATAAATTTTGAAACAGAGTGAAAAATGGGGAGGTACTATCTGAACATTCCAATTCAGTTGCTTGAAAGTGTAGAGCCCATTTTAATCCTGATGAATATCAACAAGCTTCATACAAAAATAATTCATTCAAGGGTATAACATCAAGTGTAAAAAAAATGTTTGAACTTTGAACCTGAAATTCACTGGTCAAAGGCCGCCAATACCCCCTTTGTCAAAAAATAAGTTGCTGACCATACAAACCTAATTGGTAGCACTCATATTAACACTTTGTCATCAAAGTCAGCTCATTCTTTCAGCGCTCTTTCTTTTTAAAACACAGCTTTCTCTGTTTGTTGAAACAATGGGCCCTTGTTAAAGCCTCACAACGTTAATGAGTGGAACACACCATAACTCTGAAGTACATGTAGACCCAAAACTTCAAACAATCAAATGCGAATGAAGCCCTAGTTAATAAACTAATAAATATATGCCATTTAGCGGTCATGTTCAGTTTGGCACGTCATATGACAATGGTTTGTTAGCCCATACAGTTAAGTCAGAAATTAGATTGATGAATGCCCATGCATTGCCTAACAGCTAGTATTCCACAATCCAGGTTTATAAATTGGATCTTTATCCTGGTCAGTGGCGGCTCCTGAAAAAATTCTCAGGAGGGGCAATTTTTCTGATGATTTAGGTGACCTACACACATTTAAAAAAAGATATGTCCAGCAACAACATGAAGACAGGGGCAGCATATAAGTCAATACCAGAAGCATTTATTGACTGATCTCAAAAGTGTTGGCTTACCAGGGTTGGTGGAGCCCTCAGTTTCATCTTTGCCTCGCAAAGCTAACTCAAACACTCCGCAAAACTTCACACACTGGATTAGCCGGCTGAGGATGTGGCGGTTCTTGCTAATGTCGTAGTAAATATATTTGTTATAGTGAATATGGAATATGATATGTTGAGTAAAATGTTGTGCTAAGATCTATTTAGGTCAGGAGCTGGTTATAAGTTCTGTTCCTATCCAATAACAATGGACAAAAGGGTCCTATCTTGTCAGCCTTGTCAGCAGGTGGCCAAGGACAACACCCACGCCATAGGCCTCTCAGTTCTTCCAACTCACGAGTTCTTGCTCTGAGGACACACACACACACAAACACACACACACACACACATCATCACTGTTAAACACACACACACACACACACACATCATCACTGTTAAACACACACACACACACACACACACACACAAAAATCCCCTCTCTTAGGCTGAACATTTGAAGACAGAGAACCCGACTCAGAGCCAATGCAACAGTGACAGTAGCCTGCAGGGGACCTCGCCCAACTCATCAGGACCAATCAGAAGATCAGAACTACTAGATTGAACCTACTTCATTTATTGCATAAAATGTCTGCACACAATGTTTCGGGGCTCTCTTCAGATAATAATAATAATAATAATAATAATAATAATAATATGCCATTTAGCAGACGCTTTTATCCAAAGCGACTTACAGTCATGCGTGCATACATTTTTGTGTATGGGTGGTCCCGGGGATCGAACCCACTACCTTGGCGTTACAAGCACCATGCTCTACCAGCTGAGCTACAGAAAGTGGATACTCATGGATGCGCATTGCAATTGTAAAATGTCAACACAATTGGAGACACCACGTCATTTTTGGAGACATGTTATTGACAGTAAACTATTGTAGATGCGACTGCTAACTAACTAAAACATTTTAGCTGGCTAGCTAATCATCTTAGCTAAATGTGGGGCAAACAATTCAGTTATTTACCGTTAATTTGAGGGATTGGGGTGAAAGAAATCGAGTTACATAGTGATACTTTACGATATACTGTATTGACAATATCGCAATATTTTAGCGCTAGTTGGCTGTACCTGCACCAAAACACCATTATTGTTCCTTCATAGCTTGTTCTCAATCTTTTCACATTGGGAGCCAATTTGTTTTCAGCACTTTTATTTCCATGACTGATCAAAACTCGTTCTCATGGCTTTCTGATCCCTCTGCAACAGACATATGGTGCGCAATAAAATCACAGTATCGAATCGCAATACGTATAGAATCATGAGACTCGCAATGCTGATGCATATATCTTATCGTGAGGTTCCTGGCAATTCCCAGCCCAAGTTCATTTGCCACAACAAATCTCTTCGCTAGCAAACGCGATGTCTTCTCCAAAACGGCAATGTGTCTCCAGCAATGTTTACTTTTTTGACGTTCTATGGCATCTCCACTTTCCAAGCATACAGTGGGGCAAAAAAGTATTTAGTCAGCCACCAATTGTGCATGTTCTCCCACTTAAAAAGATGAGAGAGGCCTGTAATTTTCATCATAGGTACACGTCAACTATGACAGACAAATTGAGAAAAAAAAATCCAGAAAATCCCATTGTAGGATTTTTAATGAATTTATTTGCAAATTATGGTGGAAAATAAGTATTTGGTCACCTACAAACAAGCAAGATTTCTGGCTCTCACAGACCTGTAACTTCTTCTTTAAGAGGCTCCTCTGTCCTCCACTCGTTACCTGTATTAATGGCACCTGTTTGAACTTGTTATCAGTATAAAAGACACCTGTCCACAACCTCAAACAGTCACACTCCAAACTTCACAATGGCCAAGACCAAAGAGCTGTCAAAGGACACCAAAAACAAAATTGTAGACCTGCACCAGGCTGGGAAGACTGAATCTGCAACAGGTAAGCAGCTTGGTTTGAAGAAATCAACTGTGGGAGCAATTATTAGGAAATGGAAGACATACAAGACCACTGATAATCTCCCTCGATCTGGGGCTCCATGCAAGATCTCACCCCGTGGGGTCAAAATGATCACAAGAACGGTGAGCAAAAATCCCAGAACCACACGGGGGGACCTAGTGAATGACCTGCTGAGAGCTGGGACCAAAGTAACAAAGCCAACCATCAGTAACACACTACGCCGCCAGGGACTCAAATCCTGCAGTGCGAGACGTGTCCCCCTGCTTAAGCCAGTACATGTCCAGGCCCGTCTGAAGTGCATTTGGATGATCCAGAAGAGGATTGGGAGAATGTCATATGGTCAGATGAAACCAAAATATAACTTTTTGGTAAAAACTCAACTCGTCATGTTTGGAGGACAAAGAATGCTGAGTTGCATCCAAAGAACACCATACCTACTGTGAAGCATGGGGTTGGAAACATCATGCTTTGGGGCTGTTTTTCTGCAAAGGGACCAGGACGACTGATCCGTGTAAAGGAAAGAATGAATGGGGCCATGTATCGTGAGATTTTGAGTGAAACCCTCCTTCCATCAGCAAGGGCATTGAAGATGAAACGTGGCTGGGTCTTTCAGCATGACAATGATCCCAAACACACCGCCCGGGCAACGAAGGAGTGGCTTCGTAAGAAGCATTTCAAGGTCCTGGAGTGGCCTAGCCAGTCTCCAGATCTCAACCCCATAGAAAATATTTGGAGGGAGTTGAAAGTCTGTGTTGCCCAGCGACAGCCCCAAAACATCACTGCTCTAGAGGAGATCTGCATGGAGGAATGGGCCAAAATACCAGCAACAGTGTGTGAAAACCTTGTGAAGACTTACAGAAAACGTTTGACCTGTGTCATTGCCAACAAAGGGTATATAACAAAGTATTGAGAAACTTTTGTTATTGACCAAATACTTATTTTCCACCATCATATGCCAATAAATTCATTAAAAATCCTACAATGTGATTTTCTGGATTTTTTTCTTCTATTTTTGTCTGTCATAGTTGACGTGTACCTATGATGAAAATTACAGGCCTCTCTCATCTTTTTAAGTGGGAGAACTTGCACAATTGGTGGCTGACTAAATACTTTTTTTCCCCACTGTATATGACCACATGTAATATTTTGGTAAGTGATGCAAATAGTGAACTATGTAGGGCCAGGATGTAAAATATATGTAGCTGCAGCAATTTCTCTTATCTGATATGGTAAGTAATGGGGCTTAATTTATAGCTCCCTAAGAGTTTGACGAACGGGTCCGTGAACGCGATTCCAGATATATTTACCTCTGAATAAACTGCCTTTATTACACCATATCCACATCCAGTAAACGTGTGATTATCAACACTAACCTCATCGTTGTGGCGGCGGACAGCTAGCCTGTATCCCTCGTCATCCAGTTGAGTGAGTGGCAATGTCTTTTTTCGTTCGTACCAATTTTTGGAAAATCCTCGGGTGTAGGACTTTCCGCCTTTAGTAGAAACCTGTTGAATTATTAAATTTGGTCTGGGAGGTCCTAATTGTTTCGTTGCCAATTTATCTTCATTTGTTCGCCGACAAAAAGGAATTTCTTTCAAACAATCCACTCTTTTCTCAGTTACGTTCATGGTTACGTAACGTATGACGAAAGCGCGTAAGTGCAAGCCCACAGACACCCATTGAGATTGTATTGAAGGCTCTGAAATTTGAAAAAAATAGATTTTACATGGGAGTCTATGACAGAAGTTCTGGGCGATTTTCAATCTGACTGAAATCGCCCCAAAAGGGGGTGGAGCCATTTGAAGCACGACTTTAGCCTGATTCGACATTTAGTGGCAGTGTGGCACTGTGGCAGATCAGACGTATAGATTACAACACTGATAACTACTGTTGCCGTGATATAATTGATTAGAAAAAAAATCCCTTCCTTTTCCCGTTTGGCAGTGCGTCGCCCATATCGCCCTATTGAACAGGCCGTCCCTGATCCTGGTTACTCTTATTGACGGGCGCTTTGAGAGAAATCGATCACGAACACTCATTGGTAAATTAGGTTTGAATTTTCAGAGGCACAGAGAAGGAAAATAAGAGGCCCCTCTCATAATATCAGATGTTTTTACCATCGAGGACCACTTTGGAAACAAGTGTTTTATTTAATACTTTTAAGTGCTATCCTCTGGGAATACAATGTACATCTTGTTGTAGGCTAAATGTTTTTACCCAAATAAATTAAATTTGACGTGGTTAATCCACCTCAGTGTGTGTGTGTCCATAATGCTTTTAATAAATTAAAATGTGCATTACATTGGCACTGGAATTCCAACCCAGGGCTAAATAACCCTGACATTGCATTCCACTGGAGAACAACAGGGCAAGGAGCACCTGAGCCCAACAGAGAGGCAGATGGGATACTCCTACTCCTCTGACGGTCCTACTGTGGCCTCCATCGGGTTGGGCCTCCTCCTACACTGTTATATTATTCCACACCTATCAGAGGAGGCATGGGTCAGTGTGGAGTGAAACAACATGCGACCAAACCTGTATGAGTGACAAAGTAAAATACCTGTTGTACAATATTCCCTGCCATTCTGGGTGCTACTTCACTCACCTGTTCTGACATTTGCATATTCTCCGGTCAGAATCTGACTGAACTTGTTGAGTGTAGCAGTGCATTTAAGTACCTTATCATAATGCATACTTCCTTAATTAGGTGTGCATGCAAAGCAATGCACAACTCTAGATTTCTTACATACTCATTATTATTAGATTTATTCCGCTCGCTCTAGCGCTTAAATGACTTAAGCTATTAACACGAAACCAACTTCCAAATGTGCAGACTGCCCCAATATTTTTTTTCTAGCATTTATACTTTTTGTACTACAACAATATTTAAAAGTGCCATAGACTTACAGTGCCTTCAGAAAGTATTCACACCCCTTGACTTTTAACACATTTGGTTGTGTTATAGCCTGAATTTAAAATGGATTGAGATTTTGTGTCACTGGCCTACACAGAATACCCCATCATGTCAAAGTGGAATTATGTTTTTTTAAAATTTGTACAAATTAATTAAAAATGAAAAGCTGAAATGTCTTCAGTCAATAAGTATTCAATCCCTTTGTTATGGCAAGGCTAAATAAGTTAAGGAGTAAAAATGTGCTTAACAAGTCACATAATAACTTGCATGGACTTAACATGATTTTTGAATGACCACCTCATCTCTGTACCCCACACATACAATTATATGTAAGGTCCCTCAGTCGAGCTGTGAATTTCAAACACAGATTCACCCACAAAGACCAGGGAGGTTTTACAATACCTCGCAAAGAAGGGCACCTATTGGTAGATTGGTAAAAATAAAAAAGCAGACATTGAATATCCCTTTGAGCATGGTGAAGTTATTAATTACACTTTGGATGGTGTATTAATTCACCCAGTCACTACAAAGATAAAGGTGTCCTTCCTAACTCAGTTGCCAGAGAGGAAGGAAACCGCTAGGAATTTCACCAATGGTGACTTTAAAACAGTTACAGAGTTTAATGGTTGTGATAGGAGAAAACTGAGGATGGATCAACAACATACTCCACAATACTAACCTAAATGACAGAGTGAAAAGAAGGAAGCCTGTACAGAATAAAAATATTACAAAACATGCATCCTGTTTGCAATAAGGCACTAAAGTAAAACTGCAAAGGATTTGTGGCAAAGAAATTAACTTTATGTCCTGAATAAAAAGCGTTATGTTTGGGGCAAATCCAACAACATATCACTGAGTACCACTCTTCATATTTTCAAGCATGGTGGTGGCTGCATCACGTTATGGGTATGCTTGTCATCGGCAATGAACAAGGAGTTTCTTAGGATAAAAATAAACGGAATAGAGCTAAGCACAGGCAAAATGCTAGAGGAAAACCTGGTTCAGTCTGCTTTCCAACAGACACTGGGAGACAAATTCACCTTTCGGCAGGACAATAACCTAAAACAGGTGAAAGCTATGATCCCTTATTGACGTCACATGTTAGATCCACTTCAATCAGTGTAGATAAAGGGGAGGAGACAGGTTAAAGAAGGATTTTTATGCCTTGAGACATGGATTGTGTATGCGTGCCATTCAGAGGGTGAATGTGCAAGACAAAATATTGAAATGCCTTTGAACGGGGTATGGTAGTAGGTGCCAGGCGCACCGGTTTGTGTCAAGATGTGCAACGATGCTGGGTTTTTCCACACTCAACAGTTTCCCGTGTGTATCAAGAATGGTCCACCACCCAAAGGACATCCAGCCAACGTGACAAAAGATAACTCACCAAACGTAACTCAAACAGTTTAAGCTAGAGATATAACATTTACATTTTAGTCATTTAGCAGACGCTCTTATCCAGAGCGACTTACAGTTAGTGAGTGCATACATTTTATTTTTATTTTTCATACTGGCCCCCCGTGGGAATCGAACCCACAACCCTGGTGTTGCAAACACAATGCTCTACCAACTGAGCTACATCCCTGCCGGCCATTCCCTCCCCTACCCTGGACGACGCTGGGCCAATTGTGCGCCGCCCCATGGGTCTCCCGGTCGTGGCCGGCTACGACAGAGCCTAAACCATCTTCCTCATGTTCCGGCTTTCCTAACTTCCAATTCTTAAGCACTTTGATCAACTATAACTATACACATTTGCATAAATTAGCATAAAAACAACCCACCAATAGTACCTCTTGAACCGTTCAAGCTAGACACCAAACCAACTTTCACATGTTCAACCGATCATATCCTATCAATCAATTGATTGATCGTTCACAAGCTAGCATGCACACCACTTTTCTAGTTGTATATTGTGTTGTCGTTTTCTACTTTAGCACAGCGAATCTAGTTATTTTCCATTGCTAATTAATTTGCACGTGGCGGCCTCATGCCCAGTAATTGGTACATGTATAGAGCATGTGTAGACAGTGTTCTTTATTATAGCTGCAGACACACAGATTGAGGTCAGCTTTTGAATGACTAGCAACATTTAGTGAAGGTACACTCTATTACAAGTGGTCCTTCGAATAGCTGGATTAGTACATCAGCTGCGCAATGGTATACTCCAGTGAAAACTGCAAACACAGTGTCCCCGTCCCAGCAGGACCCGGCGGGTCCCGACACACCTGGAGGACTATGTGTTGAGCTTCCCTCCACAACACCATGTTCCAAAAGCAATGATGGAGCCATCCTACATGACAACATCAGAGGCATCACTCCCCAGCCAGGGGACTGGCATCAACTATTCAACTCCCCAGGTCGGGGAGAGAGAACACGAGGATGAGCGATTGCGACGCATGGAGGCATCTGTTGTGGACATGAGCAAGCAGATGAAGGAACTCTCAGTTGTTATGGGCAACCCAGCACGGGGGCCCTACCCCCACAACTACATATATCCTTATCTCAGCAGCCCATACCAATACCCCTCCTACATCCCGCAATACAGCAACCTCCCTCACCTGTAGCCTATCCCCATCCAAGCCCAAACACTAATACCGGGAGTCAGCCCAATTCACTCCCAGTGAGAAATCCTACAGCTGCTCAAGTTGAACTGACACAGCTGGTTCCAGCTTCTCAACCCGGGCCACAACCAGCTCCTCAACCCGGGCCACAGCCAGCTCCAAAACCCGGGCCACAGCCAGCTCCACAACCTGGGCCACAACTAGCTCCTCAGCCAGTACCACCATATCCAGTGCCTCCATTTGTACCTCAGCATATATCAATGTATCCCTATCCAGTGCATCCTCCTGTGCCCAACATGATGGAGATGGCCATTGCATCATCCTACGGTATCCCCAAGCCTAAACTACCCTCTTCATCTCTGGTAAGGAGAGTGACTTTATCATGTCAAAGAAGGGCCTGGACAGTGTACTCGGCTGACATAGGCACCTAACAGAGGACTACAAATACAAGGATTTGCTGGATCACCTTCAGCTGCCCAGTGCCTACCAGGTGGCTAAACGGTATGTGAATGATCCAACCCCATGTACCAAGTCTATGCAGGCCCTTCAGCAGAGGTACAGTCAACCCAGACAGTTGGTCCAGGGAGAATTAAAGGCCATCCTGAACTATCCTGCTGTCAAGCCCAGCGACGCCCAGGGGTTTGAAGATTTTTCCTAAGCCGTCAACACACTAGTGGGTCTTGAATTGCCTGGGTCTTCCAGGTCTGAACTAAGTTGTGGATCTCACGTTGACACATTGCTCACCAAGCTGCCCTCCAGCTACAGAAACAGTTACACTGAGCACTGTATATCCCGGGGAATCACCGCAATGGCAGCAACAAAACCTACACACTACCGGATCTCGCACAGTAGCTCGAAAGAAGTGTCAGGCCATTCAAGTCTCCCGGTGACCTATACTAGCCAGCCAGACCTCCCACGAGTGGACTTCAGAGAGCAGAGATCCCACGACACAACACAAACAGTGTATTCGGAAAGTATTCAGACCACTTGACATTTTCCATATTTACGTTACAGCCTTATTCTAAAATGGATTAAATGTTTTTTTTCCCCTCATCAATCTACACACAATACCCCATAGTGACAAAGCAAAAATGAGTTTCTCCCATTCTTCTCTGCAGATCCTCTCAAGCTCTATCAGGTTGGATGGGGAGCGTCGCTGCACAGCTATTTGGCTGGTTCTGGCTGGCCCACTCAAGGACAGAGGCCACTCCTGCATTGTCTTGGCTGTGTCCTTAGGGTCGTTGTCCTGTTGGAAGGTGAACCTTCGCCCCAGTCTGAGGTCCTGAGCGCACTGGTGCAGGTTTTCAACAAGGATCTCTCTGTACTTTGCTCCGTTCATCTTTCCCTCGATCCTGACTAGTCTCCAAATCCCTGCCGCTAAAAAACATCCCCACAGCATGATGCTGCCACCACCATGCTTCACCGTAGGGATGGTGCCAGGTTTCTTTCAGACGTGACGCTTGGCATTCAGGCTAAGAGTTCAATCTTGGTTTCATCAGACCAGAGAATCTTGTTTCTCATGGTCTGAGAGTCCTTTAGGTGCCTTTTGGCAAACTCCAAGCGGGCTGTCATGTGCCTTTTACTGAGGAGTGGCATCCGTCTGGCCACTCTACCATAAAGGCCTAATTGGTGGAGTGCTGCAGAGATGGTTGTCCTTCTGGAAGGTTCTCCCATCTCCACAGAGGAACTCTGGAGCTCTGTCAGAGTGGCCATAGGGTTCTTGGTCACCTCCCTGACCAAGGCCCTTCTCCCCTGATTGCTCAGTTTGGCCGGGTGGCCAGCTCTAGGAAGACTCTTGTGGTTCCAAACTTCTTCCATTGAAGAATGAAGGAGGCCACTGTGTTTTTGGGGACCTTCAATGATGCAGAAATGTTTTGGTACCCTTCCCCAGATCTGTGCCTCGACACAATGCTGTCTCGGAGCTCTAAGGACAATTCCTTTGACCTCATAGCTTGGTTTTAGCTCTGACATGCACTGTCAACTGTGAGACCTTATATAGACAGGCGTGTGCCTTTCCAAATCATGTCCAATCAATTGAATTTACCACAGGTGGACTCCAATCAAGTTGTAGAAACATCTCAAGGATGATCAATGGAAACAGGATGCACCTCAGCTCAATTTCGAGTCTCATAGCAAAGGGTC